GCTACAACTGTAGCTTGCCTCCACCAGTGTGTGAATGTGTGTGTGAATGGGTGGATGACTGGATGTGTAAAGCGCTTTGGGGTCCCTAGGCGGGACTAGTAAAAGCGCTATACAAATACAGGCCATTTACCATTTACTTGTCCAGTTTTCTCAAATTTATTTATTTTTTTATTCTTAAAAGAAATGCTGCACCCGATCCTGCCAACTTTTCAGCTCATAGCTCCTTGAGAATCACCTTCATATTGCAAACATATTGTTTTGTCTTTCAAATTGTTAACTTTTAATAAATTCAAAATTTTTTTATTTTATTTCTATTGTCCCAAATCACAGCAGCACTTGCTTTTGTTTTTATACTGTAAGGTTAATATTTTAGAATAATAGTGTAATTAGTGGAGCTCCCGCCAGGCATCGAGTCAGTCACGTGACTACAAACTATGGACTTAGAGGGGGCAAAAATCACAAAACACTGAAATCTATGATATAATTTTTAGTTTTTGGTTTTTGATCGTATGACTGTACAAGTGTCAGTATACTGTATATATACTTGAAATCCAGGGTCAATTGATTGTTTGTTTTTCTTCCCTGTTCTTTGTGTCTGTGTGTAGATGGATTCCGTAAGGTGATGCACATTGATACAGGCATTGTGAAACAGGAGAGAGACGGTCCAGTGGAATTTCAGCACCCCTACTTCAGACAAGGACAAGATGATCTGTTGGAGAACATCAAGAGGAAGGTGGTGTCTTCCACCATTGTGTCATGTAAAAATGTAGCTAAAGTTACCCCCATTATTCAGACAGCTGCCAGTATCTACAATTGATTATTGTTTGTCAAAAACATCCTTCTGCTCCTTGGAAACCTCCTGACCTTCACCATCATATTTTTCAAATGTATACAATTTCATTAGGAGTCTAAATGTAAGATGCAAATGACAGCTTCCATTGTCTTCTAGTTAGGTTTAGAGAAGACACTTTCAAGTTTGTCAGGGAATTTGTTTTAGTCCATTTGACATTGTGTGCTTCTTACTGATAAACTGAGGCTGCTAAACTAAAGTTCCATGATATGAGAGCTCTGACATTTTA